ACGCCCAGATTCCAAACGCTCTATAATATATATAATTTTTCCAATTACACTAACATTTCAATTTTTTTATTTATTTCGTTCCTTCATTTTAAAAAATACTTTCACACTCATCTTTACAGTATATTCGCATACCTTAAGTTTTCAAAATATTTTACTTACACCCTTATACTACTCTTTTACTCTTAATATAAAACTTGAAAACGAGAAAGGACTAATGTTGTTGTTATCTTACTCTTTCATTTATGATCATTTCAATTTTGTATATTATTTTTCACATTTTGAATTTGGTTTTACTATTTTTAGAAAATAGTCTATATAACTCGTGACACAAACTATGTTGCAGAGACTTGTCAAAGAAAAAATTTTACAAAAGGAAATTATATTAACTCATTTAAAAAAATATGGACCGAATGACAAAAATTCAAAGTTGCAAAAAATTAAAAATAATATCATAATATACCAAAAAAGACAAAACCAAATAAAAATTGTAAAAAAAAATTGAATTTTCCAATCCAACACAATAATTCAATTGTTTTTTGCATTCTTATTATTTCTTCTTGCACCTTCATGCTGACCTTTTACATTTTTTATTCATAAAATTTGAAAACATATTCTAAAATATACAATCTTAAATATATTTACAAATCTAAAAGTAAATTTTAGATTGTCTAATTTGAAGATGTATTATGAATTTTATAATTGAAAATCTATTTTCAGATTCAAAAACATATGCAAATTTTTTAAATTATAATTTAGAATACATTTTTAAATTACAGTCTCTAGAAATATATTTTAAAGTATAGAATTTAAAATATATTTCTAAATTAAAAATAACTTTAATTATATGTCTTGTAGTTTCAAATATTATAATTTAAAATATAATTTTTAATTTATAAATTCTAATTATGTAATTCAAACTTAATTTATAAGATCCAAAAATGTCCGAAAAATTGATAATTTAAATTTTTTTTCCGTCTAAAGTGCCCCCACAAGAATAAGTTACCTTAACCAGCTCCAAGTTAAAGGCCAGATTTATAATCCTTCTGTGCAAAGCCCATTGTTCACCTTCCAGGCCTACAAGGCCCTGTCCAAACAGCAACTTCGACTGAGGGTTGTACGGAACTTTCCCGTACTCACCGCGCGTATTCGTCAGCACCTCCTTAATCATGTCCGGTTCAGTTATCGCCAACCGGGGTGTTGAACCGAACCAGTACAGGAAAGTTTTCCCGTGCGCGCGAGACCACCTTTCGTAAAATGGAACCACGCGCCTCAAGATGTTATCATGCTCGAACGCAGGGGTCGCCTCTGACTTCGCTTCCGCGTACAGCCGTCGGATCTCCGACGAGTTCCCCACGATCGGACAGTAGCCAGGGCCTCCTATCCCTTGCTTCTTGAAGTGACGCTCCGTTCGCCGGGGAACCCACACATTTGCGTAGAGAAATTTCACCGCGAAGAAAACGAGGAGAACTACAGCACCGAATAAAAGATTCATGTTGATCTAATCTGCTAGTGAAAGAGAAAAGTGAAGCATGAAAAGAGGTTAAAAAAAGAGAGTGAATAAGAGGAGAAGAGCGTTGACTTTTGATGGTGAGACTGACTAAGAGGAAAAAAAGACTATTGCAGTAATGAAAGGTGAAGTGGAACTGTTTGTTTCTGTGAGCTATGGCGATGGTGGAATAGTCAAATCATTACCTTTGTGTTCAGCGAACACGACGCGTACACAAACATTTTCTAAGCAAAACTATTGAGTATCTTCTTTAAAAATATCTATAATTTTTTTTAGTAATATCCACAATATTTACGAATATTTTTTCATAAATTTAAAATAAATCATTTTTAATATAATTCTTCAAAATATAAACTTAAATAAACAATTGATTGAAAAATATAACTTAAATAAACTCTTATGCAATACTTTAACTTAATAGATATATTGTGATGAATTTTCGTAAAATTAACTTCTGATAAAAGATAATCAGGCACAACTTTAACTTGACCGACAAACTACCAAAATATTTTCGTAAACTTCCTGTAAAAAATTCTCATCTAGTTAAAGATAGTTTAATAACATGCAAATTCAAAGTGAAAAGATATACAAGGATTTCCTTCAATAATTTTACAAGAGGCCCAGTATATTATGTGAAGACTCTTTTAAGTTTTCTTCAACAAATATTTTTTATTCTTTAAATCGAAATATTTCAGGATTTAGAGGTAATTTGATATCAAATAGGGGTGTTCTTTCAAGTGAGAGATACAACGTCTTCAAGTGAGAGATACAACCTCTAAATTAGTCAAGTATGTCAAATAATAATTAATACTGGAATAATGAACGTAAACTATTTACTTCTATAATTGTATTATTTATAGGATAATTATGACATGTATTGACTCTTATTTATATAGATTTGAATGTTCCAGTGGTCTATTTATCTTATGAGTTAGTTGTTTGATCTAAATTCTACTAAATTAGAGAGTAATATGTTATTAGTTTTGGTAGTCTGAAAGATAGTCGGACGGGCCAACTTATGATCGAGTAGTTCACCATTATAAGGTAAATTACCGTTAAAACAATCATAATAACATTATATAAACACACTAATTATATTAACCATAAATAACCACCATATACATAGTAGTAATAACAATAAGATTCATAATCCTTTAACACAGACAACTCAAACATGTTGGATTACTCGATCTTCGATCTCCAATTCTCAATCCTTGATCTTTGATCCTTGATCCTTGATCCCTAACTCTTAATGTCATCAGTAACATCTCACACATAGCCCTTCCATTCATTAGTGCCTATGTTAGCTATCTTACTATCACCATTATAGTAACACCACTATCAATCATATCCCAACCAGGGACATCTTCAATACCATGATCATCATCATAGATACAACGCCATTATGACTATTCTTATCATGAATAACTCAACGAGCATCACCCATCCACGAACCTCGTCATGAAAAGACTCAATCACATTCATGTACCCTACCTCTCCTATTTGTAGCCCCCTTACAAGGCCACCTATAGCCTCCCCTACAGGCTTGATTGAGTCCTCCCTCCTTTGGCTTTGGACATATACCCCTATCACATAAGGCGAAACATTTATCCCCCAACCAAAAATGATTCAACACTCGAACACTATTCTTTTTTCTACAATTATTTGTCAAAGAGAACATCACTATCACTCCTTTTTCAACAACCAATGCCAAAGAGAGTACTCCCTTTCCAACAACCAATGTCGAAGAGAGTCGCTAAACACAAATAGTCTCATGACTTACTAGGTACAACAAGTGGACTAATCTCACATGTCTCATGCTCATTGATAAACCACACACACCCTCTTCTGCATTCCATCATCCATTCATGCTCTATCACCACTCCAAAAGTAAAACCTAACCCTAATTACATAAACTATTTTCATTCCTTGTGCAACTTCGCTTTTTGTAGTTCATACGCTTATCCCTTGTCCAATCTCCAACCAAAACTAAAGTTTTTCACAAAATAATAGTGGGATAATTAATTATCGCAAGTGATAATCGATTATTCCAGAGAGGTTCAAAGTTGCACAATTCATATTGTGATAATTGATTATCACAACCGTTAATCATTATCACTAATGATAATTTATTATTTCATTGGGTTTAACACATTAACTTTCCCAGAATTATAAATATGAAATAATAATTGATTATCATCTCAAATAATTTATTATTCTCGAGAATAATCACATTCTAGACAGAAACCCAAAGTCCAAAACCTACACGGATAAACTCCAAAACACATGAAAACATGCAAAACACACCATACATCCATACAACCTTGTATATACATGAATATACACTGACATACAAACATAAGCATCCAAAGCTCATCATCATGCATATTTTCAACCTAACAACCCTAACATAGTGCATATGATCATCACACTACTATTTACAACATATACTTGCATGGTAAAACCCCAATAAGATACCTTTAACTCCTTTTGACATCAATATATTATTATGAAAAAAGCTCAACAAAATCATACATATTTTGATAGAGAAAATCCAGCACTAACATAATATAAATCCTATCACAATACACAAACATATTCTCACATATTCAATAATAAAAAACGACATTGCTTCCAAAATAATAAAAAACACATGCTACATATCACATACAACAAACAAATGTAAGTATACTACAATTCGTGTAACTTTAAGTTTTTAACTATATTTTTATTTCTTCAATTCTTAAATTAATTGATATTTGTTTACTACGTACTTTAGTTTTCATCTTAAAACATCCATAGACAAAAGACGAAAAAGAAAAGATCATGTTGTTTTTCGTTCTTCAGATTGATAATATCAATGTAAAAACGCTCACAATAATATTAGTATGATTATATAGCATAAATTAGACACATATACTTTCAATGGTTATTAAGAAAAATGAATCATTTTCTATTTTAAAAATATCAATGAAGATGAATAGTATTTTTTTATATGAATATATATTCAATAAATTACTTTATTAAACTGTAAGATATCATATATTTAAATTGGTAATTATGTTGTTATAAAAAATATTTACTTAACATTGATAATTTTTACGAAATTAGATATAATAATATAAAAAATAGTTATAATAAATTATAATTTTATAAAAAAGTAATTTATTTTGTTTAAATTATTTTTATATTTAAATAAATATATACAATGGGTGAGTATTATACATAACTCCAAAAAGAAAGAAACACCACTAATTTTCTCACATTTTTTTTGTGCAAGAATGATAAGTTCTTCCATCCTTTGAAAAACTCAATATTAATAAAATTTTGGAAGTATGTTCCATGCATTAATGGTGTAAGTGATACTCAAACAATTGTGCTATTGTACTCAAAAAAACAAATCATCACATAATATCTTTTCACCTCCCTCACTAATTTATATGTGAATATTATATCTTTTAAAATAAAAAACTTTCAAAAACAATTTTTAATATTTGTTTTCCTGTGTTCAGTTTCACAACAGCTAAAGAATACACAGACCCTTCATTGATTCTCTTGCAGTTCGGTTTTAGTTTCTGAATTTCTTTCTCACCCGTCAGGTCCAAAGCTGGACACGACGGCTCCAACAACACCGCAATGGTAATTTCTAGGTTTCGCATTCTTATTTCTTTCATTTACCTTCTTTTTACACTTCCTTTCTTTGATCTTTTTGTTCTGATTCAGGCGTGTGTTCAGTGTATTTGTGGCAAGCAAATTGCAACTGTTGTGGTCTCTCAAGGTACTTTCCTTAACAGAAAAATGAGGTGAGTCTCGTTATTCTTTGCATTTTAACCTTTTGAAGGCTTATGTGAGCGAAGTTGAGGCATGTGTCCTTGTTGCAGGTATTGCAATTTTCTACCTTGGAAAATGTGTTACCGGCTAAAGCATAAGCTCGCAGAGAAGAAGTCTATTCGACGGGTCGGAAGCTGTTCCAAGTTGCGGAAAAAAGTAGGAATAATAGTGTTTCATGAAAATTTGATGTGATTTTAATATTAGGCTGAAATAAAAAAAATAAAGTAAATAAATTTGAAGTAGTTTCTAAGGGTAGGGATTAAACCTATATTGACTGAAGATTGAAAAACCTATTCGTAACGTTGTTTATGCAAGTTCAAGTTGATGGTATCTAATTGATTGGCATTGAGGTGCCTCAAGAAACGTTGTTTCTTAAGCTGATTTTATAGTTTATCACTTTGAATGTCTGACTAGATGTGCTGATAATTGGTTTATAAATGTCTATAGCTGCCATATGAATGTAGCATTGATTTAAATTAATTATACTTACAGGTAATTGCTGTCATGGATTACAACCTTTCTGACCTAATTGGTAATGGAAGTGATGAAATGAAATCTGAAATGAGTCCCAAAGATGCATTAGATGATGTGGACATCTCTTTGATATGTAAGAGGTTTCCATCAATTACCTTGGGTAGCGCTGCTCGAGTGGATTTGTATGATGGGACTACATCATGTTCTGAAACAATGAACTCTTTGACAACAGAAAATTTTGAAAATTGTTTTTCTAATTCTTCAGAGACAAGGTGGGTTCAAAGTGCTCTTTCTGAAGAATGGCCTTCTTTATATGTCAAGCATTCTAGTGTATCATCTTCCACATCAGGAAAAGATTCTTTGCTGCCTGATTTAATGTCTTCAATACAAGAAAAAAATTCAGATCAAATCACCGGGGAAGATTGTCAAATGAAAGTGGCAATGGAGTCACAGCCAAATCCTACACTAAGTGAGTTATTTCTTGACAAGTCTATAAATTGCATACCTGGGTTGAGTAAGAGGCACTACAGGAAGCTGGAGGACTGTGGATTTCACACTGTGAGTTCCTGAAAAAATTGTGTATTTTGCAAAGTTCTTTGATTTTCTGTTTTGAAAGGATGGCTTGGATTCACATTAATGCCTCTCTTTATGTGTAGTTACGAAAATTGCTGCTCCATTTTCCACGATCATATGCTAATATGCAGAATGGACATATTAAAATTGATGATGGGCAATATTTGATTTTTGTTGGAAAAGTCTTATCTTCAAGGTGAATCTATTTCATATGAAAATTTGTATCCTTTTCTCTTGGCATAAGGTTTTCTTGGTGCTTGATTTGTCACTTGAATTAAATATTGTGGCTGATGTATGCTTGCACATTTGTCATTATCCAATTGTTAATGGCTTTGAAGATCCTTTAATGTGATTGGTTGAAAGGTGGAAAAAGGAGGATGACTTTGAGATGATTTTTTATTTGATATAAAGTACTTTTTATTTCATGTGTTGGAAGTCTCACATCAACTAGTGATAAGGCTAGTTTAGAATATATAAGTGAGTGCAAATCTTATCTTACAAGCTGATTTTATAGAGTTGAGTTAGACTTAAAGTCCACTTCTTAATACCTATCCCATCTTCTCACATTCCACCTGCTTAAACAATGATTGTAGTTAGCATAATGTCATAGGACTAAAACTTTCTGTAGTAAATGTAAGTAACTTGATCCTGAAAGTCTTGATTTTGATTTGATGCTATTAAAACATATGGTTTTATCATATCATGCCTATCTAAAATGGTTACTTATCACATATATACCTGCATATGGCCAGGGAACCATTAAATCAACTGTTCTTGCTTTATTCCTTAGTAGGCTTAAGCATCTTTATATAGTGATTTAGTTAAATTGGTTTCTTAATCATACTTTGGAACTATGAAATGTTTAACTTTTAAACCGTTATTTTCATTTCTTTTGACAGAATGGAACCTTTCAGGAGCCTAAACCCAACACCTTAGTTAGTTCATGACATGGTATGGGGTCAACCTCCTTGAACAAGTGATCAAAATTTTAATCCTTGCTCTCCTTCTAAATAACAAAATTATGAATTTCAATGTTGTGAAAAAAATGGTTAGCATATTGTCTATTCTTCAAGCCTAAATAGCATTTGTGTGAGGGGGAGTAAAGGATGGCAAAAGCTGTTAATGTGCCTTCACCTAGGCGCTTAAGCTTTTGGGGTAGTAAGCCATTGAGGCTCATGACATCACTGAGTCTAGCATCTATTCACATGCCTGTTATTGTGTGTAAATTACATTTAGAAACTGATGGTGATTTATAATGTTTTAAGTTGATAACTTTTAGTCTTTCCTTTGCAGGGGTGTCAAAGCTAATTATTCATTGTCATTTCTTGAGGTGGTTGTGGGCTGCGAAATTGCTGAAAGTGAATGTGGTTTTGAGCATGTGACCACTGATGCTATTGGTGTGCAAGAGAGGACAATTTATTTACATCTAAAGAAATTTTTTCGTGGTTCACGTTTTACCTTCAAAGCTTTTCTTCAAAGGCTTGCAGAAAAGTATCAAGAGGGAGACATAGTATGTGTTGGTGGCAAGGTGAGTTTGGTTCTCCCCCTCTTACCCAACTAGTTTCCTTATTGTATTGCAAGTTTTCAATGTGTGGAGGGATTGTAGTTTCCTCAACTTCTTACAGATATCATAAATATGGGTGTTGAAGAAGGTGATAATGTATGGACTATGTGAAATAATCTATATTGCGTTCTTTATGTGGGAGTGTGTTTGAAGTTGTTTACCCAAACAAAACCTTAATATTAGATTTCATCTTAAAACAAATTGTCATTATTTATTTACCCTCAGCACCCTCTCCATTGGTGCCTGTCAAAGTATTTGTCTTGATAATGTTTAGGTGGAAGGGTTTTGGGCAGAGGGACTAAAGCATTCTTTTGTCAAATTAAAGGAGTCGAAAAGATCAATTTTAATTTTGAAGGACCAACACAAACTTATCCCAAAATTGAGGAATAAAAACATATTTCAGCCTTTTTTTTAATTGAAAATTTATTATGATAATAATAATAATAATAATAATTATTGTTATTATTACTATTACTATTATTATTATTATTATTAATGTTGGGGTCCTTGTAAGGATCCATGGGCTTTGGAAAATGGGGATGGGGGAAAATGATCTTGAGGTGGGGAATAGTGATACTGCTAGGGTTATGGGAACATTGGGAATGTTGATATGGGAGCTTGGAGGAATCCTTGGACCTGCCCTCCATGGTGACATGCCAAGGTCATGCTCAAATACCTTGGTCAATTTAGTAAGGGTGAAAGTAACGATGAAAGAAGAGATCAGTTTTAGACATAAATTAATGGGATATTAAATGGGCATGTTGCATTGTGATGAAAGACAAAGCATCAAGTGCTATTTATACTAGGAATTAGATTAAGCTCTAGATTCTGAGCCATGGTCAAATACAAGAATAAATAACTCATCGAAGAAAAAATGAAATTCTCTAGTATAAGGTAAGGTTCTAATAAGATAAGATCCCTAAAAATAATTATTGCTAAGTATTAGTAGTTATAGATATTATGCATCATTCTCATACTCTAAGATATTCAATATGTCTGTGTGTGTAGATATATATTCTAACCTGTCTTATTTTTTTAACTTTGTATTATGTTTAATTTAATTTAATATGATTGAGTACACTTTGCTTTTGTCTAACTTATTCACATTCTTGCACGCAGATAAAACCTTGTTCCTTCACATGTACAATATATATTAATATTCTGTTTTAATTTATTTTGGAATTGTTTAAGAGTGCACATTATTATTGATTTTTTAAAATAGGTCAGGACTATGCGTGCTAAAGATCACTATGAGATGAGAGAATATAATATTGATGTGCTTGAAGATGTAAAAGATTTGTCCTTTTTCGCTAAAGAGAGGCCATATCCTATCTATCCTTCAAAAGGGGGTTTGAACCCAAATTTTCTTAGGGACACTATTGCAAGGTTTGTGGTTTCCAAATTCTTTTATGCAGAATCTTATTTGTAATTTCTTTTTATAAAAACAATATTTCTTGTTTAGGAATGATAATTACTCATGATAAGGATGTCAGAGTGGGTCACTTTTTTTTTCCTTTTATAAAATCGAGTTAGGTTGACACCCCATTGTTCAACAATCATTTCCCATTACATGAAACAATTTATTGAAAAGAAAGAAAAAAAAAACAAAAATATGTGGGGTCAAACCAAACTCATGTTTAAGAAAATACAAAGCAAACTCCCTTAAAACTTAAGCAAAAGAAAAAAAGGGAGTTGAAATCTATTATGAAAAAAATCTAGCATAATCCCCAAATTTGCAAGCTTATCTGCACAAAGATTTCATTCAAGAAAAATGTGGGTTACTTTGAACTCTATAGCATCACAACTCTTCATGCATGTTTGCCATCTCCCTAAAAAATGACCATGGAACAATTTGAGGAGATGAAAGGACTTGGCAAACCAAAGTAGAATTACATTCCAACCACACCCGGCTATAACTATTAGCCCAAGATGTCTCAATAGCCAAAATAATCCTCATAATCTCAGAATATAAAGCATTTTGACTACCCAAATAATAAGAAATTTTTTCAATATATTTCCCTGACTACCTCTGAAAATTATGCAAGCAACATGACCTGGATAAGCTTTAGCAACTTCATCTGTATTAATTTTGATCCATCGGACAACATGCATATTCAAGTAACTTGAAGAGTCTTAGTTGCTTTCCTAGGCCTAGTTTGAATATCAAAGAATTTCAATATAGAAAAATTAATCATATCGTTCCACATAGTTACCAAATAGCCTAACATATACCTTTATAACTCCAAATCTATACTTTATTGAAATCTAAAATAATTTCTCATCCTCCACAACATCCCTATAGTATAAGTAACAACAACCAAACATACATCTTTCACTAAAATACTACCATCAGCTTACTTAAGATTAATATGAAAGAAGTTTCTTATTTCAATTAATTTATTTGAAACAATGCATTATATATAGATAACTCTAACCCGTATATTAATTACATAAAAATCTCTAGAATTTTCTAACAACTTCTAACAGCTTAGTAGTACACTTAATATCCTACTAGCAACAATGCCATGGTGAATGGATATACTTAAGAAAGATACACAAGAATATTGGAATGAATTTGAAAGAGTGTCTTCTCCTCTCCTAGGATTACATATTTATAATTACTTGGGGTACACCACATACAGTGTATTAGAGGGAAAATAAGGGATTTCGAAGAGATGCACCTTGGAACTAGTTTTAGCACAAAACACATAGCACCTTACAATAAATCCTATTGAAGACTATTTATTCTAACACTTCACCTCAAGCTAGATCATAAAATTTGTATGTACTGAGTTTGGAACAAATAAATTAAATCCGAGGACCTCAATATTTCAACTTAAATCCAAATTTGTCACTACCTCAATAGACTGAAAATCAGTGTCCAACACTTCCATACAATCTGATTCTGGTTCAACAGCAGAAGTTTCTCCTACTGTATTCAATACATTTGTTTCATCTTCTTCTGTGTCAGAGTCTCCTCCTGCACCTTTCTTTAATACTCATCCCATGCAAACCAGGTCGAAATCTGGTATTTTTCAGAACAGAGTTCATCCATCCTTGTTATCTCATTCTGAACCTAACAGCGTTAAACAAGCTCTTAAGGGTAAAAATTGGATGACTGCAATGCAATAAGAACGAGGTTTTAATGAACCAAAAATTGGATGACTGCATTACACTAATTTATTACTCTTTTATCTTCTCCAGAGCTTTACAAGCCTTGCCTGTCAATGTAGATCCAATTCCTAAAGGTATCACAGAGCAATTTGGACTACCAAGTCTTCATGATGTAAGGAACTCTAACTTCAAGAATTCTTTATTCTATTTATGAAATTATTTTCCTACCTGCCATATAAGTATCGTCAACTACGTTGACAGTATAGACTTTTTATTTTATTTTTTGTTTAAAAATCATGTTAGCTATCACTATGTACTTTGATATCTTAGTTATGCTGATAACTCAGAAGGGTATCTATCATTTGCCATCACATGATAATTTATTACACAACGAAAATCGAAGAAACAAAAAGTATGGGGGACTAGACCAAACCCATATAAAACAAATGAAACAACTTCCCAAAACATATACAAATCTGTCTGCAATTAACATTTTTTCTACTGCTTGCTGATGAATTGAAAGTGTTGTGGTGTTAGAGGAATTTGAAATTTAGTGAGTATTTGACTTAGAAATAATTAGAGAAAGAGGGTTGAAAAGTTAAGGAAAGACGTACATGTACTCTTGAAAATCAACTTGCATTGGCCAGTTTTGGGCTCTATAAAACCTAAACCTGAAACCCTGAATCTTTTATATATTTGTCTTTTTTTCTTTCAGTATTTCTCTGTTTCTGAAGTGTTCTACATATTTTGGGCTGCAAATTTGATTTTTGGAGTAGAATTGCTCTAATAAAGGAAACGGGGTGGCTTGGACTTGGCGGTTGTGTGCATTTATTATGTCATAATTTATTTGTAATTATGATGTTTGAAAATCAAATGCTCTTTCATTCCTATTTTTCTGAAACTTTATCCCAGCTGTTCCCCATATTTTTTACTGAAAGTTAAAATTTTTAAATGATAACCATGTAGGCATATATTGGAATCCACAAACCCAAGGATATAAGTGAAGCTGATTTGGCTCGCAAGAGACTCATATTTGATGCGTTTTTTTACCTGCAGGTGAGGTCATTGTTTTATTTCAGATTTTATTTTGACAACTCTAAAATTTTTCCACTGTGAGAAATACTAGCAATGCATTCTCTAAGACTCTTAAACATTATTATCGGTGAACTTTTTATTAGAAGTTACAAAATTTTATGTGCTCTTTTGAACCTGGTAGAAGAATTTGTCCAGATTCATTATATCTTTTTTATAGTGATGAATATGCAGATTCATGGATCCTATTTAAGAGCAACAAATCTGAATGAATCAATTCAGATAAATTCAGAATTAGGTGCATTTACTTTTCTATTCACCCAATTTTTAGAAGATATGCTTTTTAGTTTATTCATTAGATAACCAAACACATTAATGTTGACTGTCATTTTATTTGATAAAAGATTGTATTTGGAGACATCAAGATTGAGTTTGTTAATTCAAGTGAGCAGGTAATAAATATTTTCATTAAATCTTTAATGAGACCTATAATTGATTATATTTGTAAAAAGCTTTATACATATGATTTATATGCACCAGTTTGAGAGGGAATGTTAGGTATTGTTAAGATATTGTTAGTGACAATATTATTTATATTTAGGCTTAAGCCATATTTTCCTGGTTGATTCTTCATTATAAATACATACCGTATGTGTATGTTGTGAAGTACTTGTTTGACCATATCGTAAGTGGTTTATTGCATTCTATCATGTTTTCTTGTAATACTTTATCCTTCTTTTTAAATGCTTCAATCATTCTCTAACTACATCTCTGCTGTTGGTTGTTAGTTAGGACGCTTATTCCAAATGCTGGAAAGTCTTGGTACACAAATAGAAAAGGATGGATTGCTTGATAAGTATAAAAGTCCAGAAAATAATGTTATGGGCACTGAGGAATGGTCTTCTCTCACCAAGAGGGTTATTGAGGTCCTTCCATATACTCTTACAACCAGTCAACAACATGCTGTTTCAGAAATTATTTGGGATCTAAAAAGACCAGTTCCAATGAATCGGCTTCTTCAGGTGTGGATTTGTGTCCTGTTGTTGTGGCTTTAGTGCTTCCTCTAATTTTTGTAGATATGTGGTCTCCACATTATAGTCTTTATTAGTGGGTTTTGGTTTTGTGTCCCCAGTTTTGTATTTCTTTTAATTGTATTAAGAATGGTGCATATGATTGGTCAAGTTCTGGTGCTAACCAAATTAGGATCGCAACCTGTATAGTGATGGAATAACATTCTTTTATTTTTTATTTAAAAAATAATTCACACAGTACAGTGTTCCCCTAACTTTTTTTAATGAAAGTGCTAAGGTATCACTATGGTGTTAGCCATCGGAACTATGTTGGCACCACAAACAACATCAATACATCAATAGAATGTAACACCTCAAAATATCATAAAAGAAAGAAGAAAATACAAAGTAACCGGGGGACCAAACCTGGCCTAATCTCTAACCCTATAAAAGGGTAAATCAAATCTATCCTTGAAAATTTTGGGACAAATAAAGTTAGGAACATTATCCCATCAAACATATGTTAAGAAGTGGGCTTTAAGCCTAACTCAACCCCACAAAACCGACTTGTATGGTGAGGTTTGCATCCCACTTATATATTATAATTTGACCTTATCTCTNCTTTTTTTTTCCTTTTATAAAATCGAGTTAGGTTGACACCCCATTGTTCAACAATCATTTCCCATTACATGAAACAATTTATTGAAAAGAAAGAAAAAATAAACAAAAATATGTGGGGTCAAACCAAACTCATGTTTAAGAAAATACAAAGCAAACTCCCTTAAAACTTAAGCAAAAGAAAAAAAGGGAGTTGAAATCTATTATGAAAAAAATCTAGCATAATCCCCAAATTTGCAAGCTTATCTGCACAAAGATTTCATTCAAGAAAAATGTGGGTTACTTTGAACTCTATAGCATCACAACTCTTCATGCATGTTTGCCATCTCCCTAAAAAATGACCATGGAACAATTTGAGGAGATGAAAGGACTTGGCAAACCAAAGTAGAATTACATTCCAACCACACCCGGCTATAACTATTAGCCCAAGATGTCTCAATAGCCAAAATAATCCTCATAATCTCAGAATATAAAGCATTTTGACTACCCAAATAATAAGAAATTTTTTCAATATATTTCCCTGACTACCTCTGAAAATTATGCAAGCAACATGACCTGGATAAGCTTTAGCAACTTCATCTGTATTAATTTTGATCCATCGGACAACATGCATATTCAAGTAACTTGAAGAGTCTTAGTTGCTTTCCTAGGCCTAGTTTGAATATCAAAGAATTTCAATATAGAAAAATTAATCATATCGTTCCACATAGTTACCAAATAGCCTAACATATACCTTTATAACTCCAAATCTATACTTTATTGAAATCTAAAATAATTTCTCATCCTCCACAACATCCCTATAGTATAAGTAACAACAACCAAACATACATCTTTCACTAAAATACTACCATCAGCTTACTTAAGATTAATATGAAAGAAGTTTCTTATTTCAATTAATTTATTTGAAACAATGAATTATATATAGATAACTCTAACCCGTATATTAATTACATAAAAATCTCTAGAATTTTCTAACAACTTCTAACAGCTTAGTAGTACACTTAATATCCTACTAGCAACAATGCCATGGTGAATGGATATACTTAAGAAAGATACACAAGAATATTGGAATGAATTTGAAAGAGTGTCTTCTCCTCTCCTAGGATTACATATTTATAATTACTTGGGGTACACCACATACAATGTATTAGAGGGAAAATAAGGGATTTCGAAGAGATGCACCTTGGAACTAGTTTTAGCACAAAACACATAGCACCTTACAATAAATCCTATTGAAGACTATTTATTCTAACACTTCACCTCAAGCTAGATCATAAAAATTGTATGTACTGAGTTTGGAACAAATAAATTAAATCCGAGGACCTCAATATTTCAACTTAAATCCAAATTTGTCACTACCTCAATAGACTGAAAATCAGTGTCCAACACTTCCATACAATCTGATTCTGGTTCAACAGCAGAAGTTTCTCCTACTGTATTCAATACATTTGTTTCATCTTCTTCTGTGTCAGAGTCTCCTCCTGCACCTTTCTTTAATACTCATCCCATGCAAACCAGGTCGAAATCTGGTATTTTTCAGAACAGAGTTCATCCATCCTTGTTATCTCATTCTGAACCTAACAGCGTTAAACAAGCTCTTAAGGGTAAAAATTGGATGACTGCAATGCAATAAGAACGAGGTTTTAATGAACCAAAAATTGGATGACTGCATTACACTAATTTATTACTCTTTTATCTTCTCCAGAGCTTTACAAGCCTTGCCTGTCAATGTAGATCCAATTCCTAAAGGTATCACAGAGCAATTTGGACTACCAAGTCTTCATGATGTAAGGAACTCTAACTTCAAGAATTCTTTATTCTATTTATGAAATTATTTTCCTACCTGCCATATAAGTATCGTCAACTACGTTGACAGTATAGACTTTTTATTTTATTTTTTGTTTAAAAATCATGTTAGCTATCACTATGTACTTTGATATCTTAGTTATGCTGATAACTCAGAAGGGTATCTATCATTTGCCATCACATGATAATTTATTACACAACGAAAATCGAAGAAACAAAAAGTATGGGGGACTAGACCAAACCCATATAAAACAAATGAAACAACTTCCCAAAACATATACAAATCTGTCTGCAATTAACATTTTTTCTACTGCTTGCTGATGAATTGAAAGTGTTGTGGTGTTAGAGGAATTTGAAATTTAGTGAGTATTTGACTTAGAAATAATTAGAGAAAGAGGGTTGAAAAGTTAAGGAAAGACGTACATGTACTCTTGAAAATCAACTTGCATTGGCCAGTTTTGGGCTCTATAAAACCTAAACCTGAAACCCTGAATCTTTTATATATTTGTCTTTTTTTCTTTCAGTATTTCTCTGTTTCTGAAGTGTTCTACATATTTTGGGCTGCAAATTTGATTTTTGGAGTAGAATTGCTCTAATAAAGGAAACGGGGTGGCTTGGACTTGGCGGTTGTGTGAATTTATTATGTCATAATTTATTTGTAATTATGATGTTTGAAAATCAAATGCTCTTTCATTCCTATTTTTCTGAAACTTTATCCCAGCTGTTCCCCATATTTTTTACTGAAAGTTAAAATTTTTAAATGATAACCATGTAGGCATATATTGGAATCCACAAACCCAAGGATATAAGTGAAGCTGATTTGGCTCGCAAGAGACTCATATTTGATGCGTTTTTTTACCTGCAGGTGAGGTCATTGTTTTATTTCAGATTTTATTTTGACAACTCTAAAATTTTTCCACTGTGAGAAATACTAGCAATGCATTCTCTAAGACTCTTAAACATTATTATCGGTGAACTTTTTATTAGAAGTTACAAAATTTTATGTGCTCTTTTGAACCTGGTAGAAGAATTTGTCCAGATTCATTATATCTTTTTTATAGTGATGAATATGCAGATTCATGGATCCTATTTAAGAGCAACAAATCTGAATGAATCAATTCAGATAAATTCAGAATTAGGTGCATTTACTTTTCTATTCACCCAATTTTTAGAAGATATGCTTTTTAGTTTATTCATTAAATAACCAAACACATTAATGTTGACTGTCATTTTATTTGATAAAAGATTGTATTTGGAGACATCAAGATTGAGTTTGTTAATTCAAGTGAGCAGGTAATAAATATTTTCATTAAATCTTTAATGAGACCTATAATTGATTATATTTGTAAAAAGCTTTATACATATGATTTATATGCACCAGTTTGAGAGGGAATGTTAGGTATTGTTAAGATATTGTTAGTGACAATATTATTTATATTTAGGCTTAAGCCATATTTTCCTGGTTGATTCTTCATTATAAATACATACCGTATGTGTATGTTGTGAAGTACTTGTTTGACCATATCGTAAGTGGTTTATTGCATTCTATCATGTTTTCTTGTAATACTTTATCCTTCTTTTTAAATGCTTCAATCATTCTCTAACTACATCTCTGCTGTTGGTTGTTAGTTAGGACGCTTATTCCAAATGNTATTTTTTGTTTAAAAATCATGTTAGCTATCACTATGTACTTTGATATCTTAGTTATGCTGATAACTCAGAAGGGTATCTATCATTTGCCATCACATGATAATTTATTACACAACGAAAATCGAAGAAACAAAAAGTATGGGGGACTAGACCAAACCCATATAAAACAAATGAAACAACTTCCCAAAACATATACAAATCTGTCTGCAATTAACATTTTTTCTACTGCTTGCTGATGAATTGAAAGTGTTGTGGTGTTAGAGGAATTTGAAATTTAGTGAGTATTTGACTTAGAAATAATTAGAGAAAGAGGGTTGAAAAGTTAAGGAAAGACGTACATGTACTCTTGAAAATCAACTTGCATTGGCCAGTTTTGGGCTCTATAAAACCTAAACCTGAAACCCTGAATCTTTTATATATTTGTCTTTTTTTCTTTCAGTATTTCTCTGTTTCTGAAGTGTTCTACATATTTTGGGCTGCAAATTTGATTTTTGGAGTAGAATTGCTCTAATAAAGGAAACGGGGTGGCTTGGACTTGGCGGTTGTGTGAATTTATTATGTCATAATTTATTTGTAATTATGATGTTTGAAAATCAAATGCTCTTTCATTCCTATTTTTCTGAAACTTTATCCCAGCTGTTCCCCATATTTTTTACTGAAAGTTAAAATTTTTAAATGATAACCATGTAGGCATATATTGGAATCCACAAACCCAAGGATATAAGTGAAGCTGATTTGGCTCGCAAGAGACTCATATTTGATGCGTTTTTTTACCTGCAGGTGAGGTCATTGTTTTATTTCAGATTTTATTTTGACAACTCTAAAATTTTTCCACTGTGAGAAATACTAGCAATGCATTCTCTAAGACTCTTAAACATTATTATCGGTGAACTTTTTATTAGAAGTTACAAAATTTTATGTGCTCTTTTGAACCTGGTAGAAGAATTTGTCCAGATTCATTATATCTTTTTTATAGTGATGAATATGCAGATTCATGGATCCTATTTAAGAGCAACAAATCTGAATGAATCAATTCAGATAAATTCAGAATTAGGTGCATTTACTTTTCTATTCACCCAATTTTTAGAAGATATGCTTTTTAGTTTATTCATTAAATAACCAAACACATTAATGTTGACTGTCATTTTATTTGATAAAAGATTGTATTTGGAGACATCAAGATTGAGTTTGTTAATTCAAGTGAGCAGGTAATAAATATTTTCATTAAATCTTTAATGAGACCTATAATTGATTATATTTGTAAAAAGCTTTATACATATGATTTATATGCACCAGTTTGAGAGGGAATGTTAGGTATTGTTAAGATATTGTTAGTGACAATATTATTTATATTTAGGCTTAAGCCATATTTTCCTGGTTGATTCTTCATTATAAATACATACCGTATGTGTATGTTGTGAAGTACTTGTTTGACCATATCGTAAGTGGTTTATTGCATTCTATCATGTTTTCTTGTAATACTTTATCCTTCTTTTTAAATGCTTCAATCATTCTCTAACTACATCTCTGCTGTTGGTTGTTAGTTAGGACGCTTATTCCAAATGCTGGAAAGTCTTGGTACACAAATAGAAAAGGATGGATTGCTTGATAAGTATAAAAGTCCAGAAAATAATGTTATGGGCACTGAGGAATGGTCTTCTCTCACCAAGAGGGTTATTGAGGTCCTTCCATATACTCTTACAACCAGTCAACAACATGCTGTTTCAGAAATTATTTGGGATCTAAAAAGACCAGTTCCAATGAATCGGCTTCTTCAGGTGTGGATTTGTGTCCTGTTGTTGTGGCTTTAGTGCTTCCTCTAATTTTTGTAGATATGTGGTCTCCACATTATAGTCTTTATTAGTGGGTTTTGGTTTTGTGTCCCCAGTTTTGTATTTCTTTTAATTGTATTAAGAATGGTGCATATGATTGGTCAAGTTCTGGTGCTAACCAAATTAGGATCGCAACCTGTATAGTGATGGAATAACATTCTTTTATTTTTTATTTAAAAAATAATTCACACAGTACAGTGTTCCCCTAACTTTTTTTAATGAAAGTGCTAAGGTATCACTATGGTGTTAGCCATCGGAACTATGTTGGCACCACAAACAACATCAATACATCAATAGAATGTAACACCTCAAAATATCATAAAAGAAAGAAGAAAATACAAAGTAACCGGGGGACCAAACCTGGCCTAATCTCTAACCCTATAAAAGGGTAAATCAAATCTATCCTTGAAAATTTTGGGACAAATAAAGTTAGGAACATTATCCCATCAAACATATGTTAAGAAGTGGGCTTTAAGCCTAACTCAACCCCACAAAACCGACTTGTATGGTGAGGTTTGCATCCCACTTATATATTATAATTTGACCTTATCTCTAATCGATGTAAGACTTCCAACACCCTCCATTCACGTCGAGGTATAGACATCTCGAGCATGAGAGTAGAATTAATGGGTGGTCTGATAGTGGCCCGATAGCGGGTGGAACAGAATGCCACAAATCTCGCTAGGATAGACTCTAACCATAGCTCTGATACCATGTTAAGAAGTGGGATTTAAGCCTAACTTAACCCCACAAAACCTGCTTGTATGGTGAGGTTTGCACCCCACTTATATATTATAATTTGACCTTATCTTTAGTCGATGTAGGTCTTCCAACAACATAATCTTTAGATCTAGTGCCAAATTCAGAAAATTTATCAGCACATTTGTTATCTTCTTTAAACATATGCAAAAAATGAATACACATGGTATTACTATTTACAAAACAATTCAGACATATATTAGTATAAACTGTGACTTCCATAACCAGAATCACACCCATCACCTCAGCATATAAAGTTTTATGAACACCAAGATATGGAGAGTGTTATAAACTGTGGCTTCCACCATTTTTTACTTCCATCTGAATCTGCTATTGTATCATCTCGTGGTCTCTTAATGTTAGTTTCCCTTGTTGAGTTGTTCTCATCTGTTTTTTTTTTCTCTTATGAGAGCTCCTTTCCCATATCCCCAACAATTTTTCCAACATCAATTCTACCTCATTAATTGTGATTCTTGTTCTGAAAATCTGGCTGAAACGATCTCCTTTCCTCCATGATTTTCTCCAAAATTTTCATTATATAATTTTGTGAACTTATTTGAATTAAGATGTTATTCATATAATTTTATTTTCATGTATAGTAAACTCAGTTTACAAGTCGATTATCAAGTTTGATAACCTTGATTAGTATGCTAGTCATCGGTATTATTTTCTTAATATGACATAAACTCAATCTTACGAGTCTATGTTAGCTCTCGAATTTGATAACATTGCTCATAGGAGAATAAAATTAAATGAATTGTTAAGATAAAATGAATATGGATCAAATTTCTCTTGTAAGTTAAAATAAACTTGCGCTTCTCAACTTTTGCAACTTCCATCAAGTCAACCTGCACATAATTTCACCGTAACATAAGGGACAAGATTGATTTATTTTACATGGTTCATTTTACTTTCTTCTGTTATAAGGGTTTGTTGAGAAGTTTATTTAAAGGGTCCTTTGTTTATGGAATAATCAGATTATAAGATTAAATGAAATGACAAGGAAACTTGGTGTAAGCTCTTTATATGAACTTCATTCTTCATATCTTAAACCGGTTTACACAATAGAATTTGTACTCTAATTAGTAATAGCTCATGTTCTTGTAAATTTTGCTTGATTTGTGGTTTGCTGTTTCTAAAGTTCACTTTTTATTAAAGGACTAATATTCTGTCAAAAGTGAGGTACTGTGTGTTGACTTACTGTGGTGAAAAGACAAACAAGATGTCATGTTATAATCTGATCTTATGTTGTAACTTTTAGGGTGATGTTGGATGTGGAAAAACTGTTGTAGCTTTTCTTGCATGCATGGAGGTTATTGGCTCTGGCTATCAGGTTGGTGTGCCTATTATATTTTGATTTCTTTTTGTTTCTTTATTACCTTGGTTTCTCATTAAATTCTTGGATGTTTAGCTTATGGTAATTGTCTTTAGTACCTATTGTTAGATGTTAAGTTGTGTGTTTATGTTAATTGGGCTTAGCACATTCTGTATTTAGGGTTTAACCCTTATCTTACATTATAAATAAACTACCCTATGTGTATGCTAAACACATAAGGGAGATTTCTCCTAATCTTCTCTATTATTTCACACCTATCATTAGGTTTTTTTTATTACACTGTTTTAACATTTAATTTACATTTTAAAAATTATGAACACCTATCCCATTGGGAATTGTTCGCCCAACATCTATTCAAACAGTTAATCACTTTTAAAACACAATTAATTATTAGAAACTTAAATAATCTTAGATATTATTGACCATTCGTGATGTATGTTTAACCACTAGATAGGCAAGTACAAATTGATAGTTGTATATCATTTACTTTGTCTACCACAACAAAAATGGTGTCTTTTCCCTTTGATTTTGGTAGACCTCCAATAAATTCCATGGAGATGTCTGACCAAACATGTGTTGGTATTGGTAGTGGTTGCAATAACCTACTAGGGCCCAAAGTCTTAGTTTTATTTCTCGGACAAACTTCACACTGCATAACAAAAGCTTTTGTGTC